AGTGAATAACGATAGGGGAACTGTCTGAACTTTACTGTTGGTAAAGCCACATATGCTCAACCTTGGCTAAGTGTCAGTATCAGAGATAATAAATTTGTGTGCAGATGTAGGAAAACTAGGACCAATGGGCTAAACAACTGAGTGTAGGGTGTTGAGCTTGGTGGGGGGAAGGAAGATGCAAAGGTAGCTAAAAAATTCAGCTTAAAATAAGGAAAAATAGGGAGAAAGGTATTAAATCAGTCACAGAAAAAGGGAATGTGGATCCTTCAGCAGCAGCAGCAGCAGGAATGCCCACAGACAACTGTGATGTGGACCTGTGTGCCCCAGCCCATTGGGATGCTGGTGGGATCCTCCTTGAACAACCCACCATCAGGTCTGTGTCCATAGATTTGTTGTGGGAGGAAATTGATTTTTCACCTCCACACTGAGCTGTACTTTGACTGTAATTACATGTTTATGCATTTCACTGGACTTCAAACCTGTAATTAATAGTTTCATTGTCAAGCCAAATACTCTGCATTGTTATTTAATTACAGGCTGGTATATCTGATTACCTAGGTCACTGAGAATTTTGCTGTCCAGCCCGTTTCCTTCTAGTGTGATCATGAACCAACAGACATGTTAATCAGTTTGCATCAGCTAGCTCTCGAGTCTCCAAACCTGCAGGCTTTGGCAGTAACAACTCTAAAAGCAGACTGAACCCAAAATGTTCCTCAGCCTGCCAGTGCCCAGTTCTCTGCCAAAGGCTGGCATGAAGTTAATTAACCATTACTTATTTTCCTGGTCCTTTGTGCTGTGTGTGGTTTGTCTGTGTGACTGCCCTTGGCTGCTGAAAAAGTCCCCAAATGCCAGAAGCCCGTTCCTCCAGAATCTGAGCTGTCAGAAACCATTTCCAGTCACAGAGGCAGGGCAGAGGACACCAGCAGGAGAGGAAGTGATGCAGGATTAATCTTCAGTGAAGACGCAGCCTGAGAGAGACTGAAATCTCAGCCAGGACAAAATGCTTTGCATCCCTGTGGATGAATGTAGAAGGCTGCAGTTCCACCAGTTAGATACACTAGTGAACTCTTTGGCAGGAATTATGTAGGCTGCAGAACTGGATTTCAGTATTCCCTGACCTGCAATTTCTTACATTGCTGCATCTACTGAAACCCAGAAGTCCAGCAGCCATTAGTCATGTTTAACTGGAGCTGGAAAAGACACTCTGTTGTACTGCAATGAGGCAATTTTCCAGATGGAAGAGGAGCTGGCTGGCGTTGGACTTCCACCAATTAGCTTTTGGCTGTTGCACATTTTCAGACATTTTGCTTATTGTTAGATACAGGTTAGGGATGAAGCTTCAGATGTTTGCCTTGGGGATATCACTGCTTCACAGCATCAAGCTTTTACTTTGACACTCGGCCAAATGTATCTTAAGTGATTTTACCCAGTTATCCTTGCTTAAATGTCTACATTCCTCCCTTCTAGCAGTCTTCCCTTTCTTGCTAAAGATACATGTTTCTACAAGAGGTCCTGGTTAGCCCTTGTGCTTCACATGAAGGATACGCTGCTTTTGATATTAACATGTGCCATTGGAGATACTCAGAACTGACCAGACAATGCCATGGGGAATGTTGGGAACATTCATGGGAAGTTGACAGGGTCCAAGCAGGAGGTTGGACTTTGGTAGGTCTCCAGCCTGTTCTGATGAGGCTGAGCCACGGGGTCAGACCAGTGCTCATAGTGTTATCCTGTGGGAGCTGGAAAACCTCCAAGGAGGGTGATGGCACCGCCTCCCTATCCCTGTTTCAACAGGGAAAAAGCCTTCCCTTATCTCCAGCCTCTTTGGCCCTAGCAGTCCACTGCCTGACAGCACCTTTTCCCCAGAGCTGCTCCTGGTCTCACTAGTATGGCTGACAGGGTTGTGCCTGTCCAGGGCAGGGCTGCCCTTTGCTCCTGCCGCAGATGCACAGGGACCCTGTCCTTTCCTCCCACTGCTCCAGGTCTCTCTGGTCAGCAGCCCTTGCCCCTGTACATATCAGCTGCTCCACCCTGCCCTGGTTTGGTGGCACCAGCAAACATGACAGTGCATTTGGTCACCTCCTCAGGTCACAGACAGAGATGCTGAATAGGACAAGCCTCAGGGCAGACCCTCCACAGGGCACAAGCCTTTAGGCAGATATGACCCAGTGGCCACCACCTCTGTGTCCCAACTGAACAGCTGGGCATTTTTCCCTTGGTGGGGCATCCACCCAGACCCTAACATTCAGCGTGGCTACAAGGACAATGTGGAGGAGTGCTCCAAGCATTGCTATAGTCAACCTGAATGATAACAAGTTATCCACTTATTCACAAATCTGCTTTTATCACAGAAAGCAATGTGGGTGAAGAATTATTCACTGTGGGTCAAGCCATGCTGACAGCTTCCACTGCCACCTTCTCCCTCATGTGGCAAGACATGGGCTCCAAGGGGACACATGCCATGATTTTGCCTGGTACCCGGGTGAAACCGCTCAATCTGCAGCTCCCCAGATCGTCTTTTGGCTCTTTTCCAGGTGTTGGGGACCTCCCCCATCTATCTGACGATAGAGACAGGAACATTTAAGAGAATGGAATAATTACCAGTTGCCATTCCATACTGTTTAAGCAGCAAGTTCTTTTTTCCACTGATCTCCATGCCTTATGGTATGTTGAAAGTTCTTGCAGGACAGAACTTAAGTCAGACTTACTTGACGGTCATTGTCAGGACTGTACTTTTTTTCATACATTTGAACTTTAATTGAAGTCTCTGTGTTTCAAACCTCTTGACATGTGCATGAACAGCATGGCTTTGAGAAGCAAGATAATTACTTCCTTTAATCGAAGTCTCACATGAACAACCTTGTAAATAAGGACACGCTGCCATGGACTTTCCTTGGTGCTTTGCTGAAGTGGGAGCTCTAACAGAGCTCTATGCCAGCTCAGAGGTAAACACAACCATGTTCTATTCTGCACACTTAATGCATATGTTTTTACAACTCTTTACCACTGAAGGAAAGACAATGAACATTCTTCAGGCTCCCACTTAGACACTAGAGGGGACCCATATGCCGGTATGGTATCCCTAAATTTTTGGACCACTTCCCTTTGTCTTCACTGATCTGAGAAGAGGAAGAGAAATCTTTCTAATGCCTTTTTCAAGTAGAGTGGAGTGTGGGATGCCTAGCCCTCTGTACTGCCGTATTATATTGGTGGTTCAGACAGAAAAACACTACCAAAACACCCATGTTGCTCTGAAATAAAACTGGCATTAGGACATACTGATATATAGACTGGGAGTATTCTCGGCAGTCCCATCAAATACGACACTCCAGTGGATGCCTTTCCATCCTGGCTTTATATATTCCGGGTCAGGAACTAAAATCCTGAGGAAAGGTATTCACTGACTGCGAGACACAAGTGAACTCCTTAAAACATTTCTGAACTCTACCTTATGGGATTAAAACTTTGTAAAGAGACTAAATTCTTACCTGAGTACATCAGAGACATAGCAAGCCACACTGATCTCAGCTTGAAATGCAGGTCCTTAACAGAAATGGAGTTACAAATGTCTTTCTATCCACGAGTCTGTGATTAACCATCTTGCCATAATTTTTAATTTAACAGAAAAGGTTTCTTCTTCATTTCAAAGGATAGAAGATAATGATTCTATCAGATACAGAACAGGAATTCTATGAAAAAAAATCAGCAGCAACTGAAGTCAAAAATTGTGCATGAATTTTATTCAAATACTTTATTTCCTGATCAAGATTTACAACACAACACGCGGATGCATTTAATAACTTACTTCACTATACATTCTGCACTTGTGATGGTTGTGCAACAAAAATAGCAACTGATAAAGTTCCAGCTTTTAGTAATTTCAAAAAGTGACATCTTCTGTAAACAGACCTTTGCTGTTAGCAGAGTCAGTGTTATCAAGCTGAAGTGATTAATTTCAGCAGCACATTTAAAGCTCTTTAGACTTCCAACACAACTTCTACACTGGCAGTTTCAGCAGTGTTTATTACATCCTTTTTTTTTTCTTCACAATCTTAGACATGAGAGTAAAACCAGCACAATCAGGCTCTTCTCTAATGGATCAATTGATAAAAAACACAGAAGGAAATAAAATGGTAGGAACACAAACACAATATTGGCACAAGTAACATACATCAGTGTAATTCTGACAAGCCTGATGAAGCACTGAACTTATTGAGAGTCCTACATACATACACAGCAACAAAACAGCTCCACAAAACGTTACTAATTCAACCAGGTAACGCTGATGATGTTCATTCACAAAAATGGTGTGCAGCTGGTGCTTAATTCCATGTCTCTCATAAGCTCTAAATATTTAATTGAGAATCTTTGTCTTTCAGAAAATGTAAGGGAATTATGGACACCCAAATGAAGGACAATATTCCTTTTAAAATCAGAGTACTGCGCATTTCAGGAAAATTTGGGAATCTGCCTTTTGTTACCTTCTTTGCCTCTCTGCATGCAAGAGACACTAAAAACAGCAGCCTGATCACCAAGGAGTGTTACTGTAAGCAGTAAAGCAGCTGTGGCTTCTCAAACACACATGCAGCTCTTTCACAATGAATACTGAGTTATGAGGTTATGCTAAAACATGACACTTATTTCCTGCATTTGTCCCAACAGAGCAGAGATACAGCAACACGCAGTACAGGTGTACTGCGGATTTCAATGTCGTAAACCAAACGTGTCAAAACCCAATACAATGGGTCTGGATTACCCTGACACCATACCCCTCTAACTGCTACTGAGAAAGAGAGGTTTAGGCATGCAAACAGAAAACAGGGATTTCTTTTCAAGTAAAGCAAAGCCAGAGATGTGTTAAGATGATCTAAGAAGACTGGCAAGATTATTGACTAGCATTCATGTAGTAAAATGCTAATAATGTTAGTCCATAGCTGTGCTCATCTCCAAATTAAGGGTTACCATATACATTAATGGCACTGGAAAAAAAAACCAAACCAAACCAGAAAAACACTGTTTCCTCCTTTAATTTGGCAGTCACTTTGGTGTTTTTTGGGAAGGTCTAATACTTTAATCTGAACTTTATTCTAATTTAAAGGGAAAGAACAGCAGCAGTTTACAGAGAGAAAGACTGACAACTGCTGCTGAATGACACGTTTTTCTGTTTTGTGTTTTAAAAGAGCTCAATTATGCTGGATTACTGACACTACACTGCAGGAGGTGTCACAGTGTCCCGGTTGGCACTTACATTCACAAAGCCGCTTAAATAATGACCCAGTTCCCACGTGCAGAGTGCTGCTCTTTAAGATGCTAACAGTCAACAGTTCGCACACCAAACAGCACTTTGCAGTATATTAAAAATCTCAAACACCTTAAAATGCTCTGAATGAAGGAGCCAGTAATGTTAAAAAGGGGGATGAGGGAAGGTCTATTTCAGATTGTACCACATACATAAGAACAAACACTTTAAAAAGCTCTCTGAAACTCCTAGAAGGCCCCTATTCCACAGTCTCCATGATCAGAGAGGATGTATGCAGTGTTCTGCAGAAACACTAAAATTACTGACACAGCAGAACAGAGAAAAACTGACTCACACCTGAAGTCTCTGGAGAAAGAAAATTAAAATGCTTCCCTTTATTGTACGTATGTTAGAATTTACCTACTAAACCCATATGGCAAAGGAACCTCTGGCAACATTTACTGTTAAAAAAAACACCTGAAGAGATGGATTCATTACAATCATGATTGTCTAGCTAAGCTAACAGTCTCTCTAAGATGTCCCTCTCCTGCTTCAGACAGACTGTAGTGTATCTGCCTAATGCTTCATCCCCAGTTCAGTCACTGATTGTCACATGTGTGGTGGTCACACTAACAGATGTCTTCTCGCACCATGCAGGACTGCAATATTGCACGTTAGTAGTGGAGAACTTTAAAACGTCATGAGCATATCACGTTCCTGTACACTAGTGTAGAATGGCCTCCCAAAAATAAAGGAATGTAGACCTGGTTTAATCTTCTCAGCCAAAGCCATTATTATGTTAAGATCGCCCTCTGCTGTTAAGTCAAGATCTATTTTTAAGCTACGAAGAGACCTAAAAGGCTTCTTTCCTCTTTGTCTGCAAGAAAATAAAGAAGGGTGTTGTTAAAAAGAATAGAGCAATTTTCTCAAAGCCTACTTTCTATTATCTGTTCACTTACGTATCATCCTCAATGTATTTTATCAAAGTCAAGGCTTTTCTGTGGAGGACTAGCAGAAATTGTGCAAGGAAAGTACTCCTCAGAGACAAGCCAGGCTTCAGATGGAAGATCTGTTAAAAATTATACCAGAAAATTAAGTACACATGGAAATTCAAGAATAATTTTAAGAATGTACAATATAAACAAACACTCCATACACATATCCTTAATTACAGCAGATCAGGCACAGGAACAGCAGATTTGTAGATACACTCAACATTGTTTTGTAGTTTTCTAGATGCTCTAATACAATAAATTAAGCTGTTTCACAATTCTGTTTGGATAAAGCATTATTTTCCTTCTTAAAATTATCTGAAATTAATTCCAGTCAGGTAGCTCTCTCAATACTGTAACTGTAGACACTGTTGCACAGCAAGAGAAAATGTGCATTGTTTTTCATATGTAAGAACAAGTTTCAGTATTATACTACAACTAACAGGAGTATTCTTCTCTCTAGCTATGCAGAGAAGAATCACAGAGCTAGTAAGAAGAAGAGCTACCAAGCCAGCCAATTATCTGTTCATGTTGAATTGTACGTTTCTAGGGCTCAAAGTACTGAACTTTTGCTCTCGTTCTTTCTGAAAAAGCAACAATTACCTGGTCCAGGAAGGCTTTTACTAATGTATCTCGATGCAGGATATCTTGAAAGACATTTCTATAGACAAGAAAGCAAAGAAGCATGTGAGCTAATGCCATGAAGGGCCACTACCCGCCCAGTAGCTGTGCACAGCAGTAACACTACTGTTTACAATCTGGCAGAAATGCAAACTGAACGCAAAATTTAAGTGAAGTATTATCCTGCTAATTTTAAAGCTAATACAGAATTGTATGGAAAAACTTTTGAGTGAAAGGAAGTAAACCCAGGAAAGCCATTTCACCTGGTCAAATACACTTAGCTCTGTTTCATCCCCAATTAAAACAGGCAACAAAATCAACACAACATGGTCAGAAATATCACTGAAAATGAATTTCAGCAATATTTACTGCAACAAAACTACTGACAGAACTGGTAAATCCCTCCAAAACGAATGCAACTACCATTGCTCAAGGAGCTTCCTAAAAGCAAATCAAGTAACATTGAGAGATGTAAGAGAGGAGTACATACAAATCAGGTGTGAAACTCTCATCTGTGTGGATAATATAATCTTGAGACATTTCTTCATCTGAATTAGCTCTCCAAAATGCTGTCAGCTCAGATCTCATATATCGTCGTTGGTTATAGATATGTTCATGACAAGGGGGCATCTGCTTCACTGTATTGACATCTACATCTATATGTGTAGTAGGATATGGGGCATACATTACTTGACGGAAGGGCAACACAAAGCTTCCTGTTGCATCCTGTTTTAGTGAAAAAAATTATTCTTCTAGTTACTTTAAAAAAAAACCCAAAACAATCATATCGAAACAAAACAATATTAAAGCATCATGCCTAAGTTTTAAATCCTATTTATTTAGACAAGTTTTGTTTGCGAGAACTAGTTGCAGCCCAGTAAAAAAATCCTTGATACTGGATGACTCCCTTATATTAACAGTGAAAACAGGTACTGAGGTAACCTGCATATTACAGTACTGCGTCACCTGGTTTGTGGCCCCATTAATGTTACAGTGTTATATTTAGCTGGTAAGTTTAGACAGCTCGCTAGGGCAAGCAGCATTATTTTTCTACTCATCTTCACCCACTGCACCCATTTAAAATGCTTGGAAACTGTACAACCGATGAACTGTTCTTTTTTTTTCTTCTGGTACAACACAAAAACTTGGGGCCTTTTGGGATTCTAGCCCCAAGTAGGCAAAAAAAGTATTATTATTGTACCTCGAAGCATAGGAACAATTCTGGACAATACTCAAGAAACAGATGTGTCAGAAGAAAGACTGGCTTGGAATTTTAACATGCAACTAGTTATGAGGAAAGCTATGGTGCCAGAAAGGAATCAAAGGAAGATGACTATTTCTCTGAAGATATCATTTGCACGCAAATCATATGCACACACATCCACCGAAGAAAGTGCTCAGACTACAGAAGAATAGAACTTTCCTAAGCATACTTACTTTGAGCAAGCCTTGAACAAAAAGTCCTGACTCGTACTTGAAAGAAGACTCATTTCTACAGAGTCTGGAGCACTTCCTCTCTGACGGTGTAAGAAACAGACATAATGTCCTCACAATCTGTGTTAAAAAGAACAGTTTTGAAAAAAGTGGAAATGTAAGGAATGAACTGATCTTCAAATGCATTTTCTGACTAAAATGTATTAGTCATGTCAAAGGAACAAAAAAGTTCATTCATCATGCTTATTAGGAAAGCCAAAACTTTACCAAAGTCACAGGATACATGCTCACATTATTGAGTTGTAAGCCATATTACTTCAACTTTTTGTCAAATGAAGAAAAGATCCAACACTTTTTGGCAAAGTTTCGTTTTTAGCCAATTATGTAGAAGAACTCACTTTTGCCTTCTGCTACCTTTTCCTATTATATAAACATAGAATCATAGAATCACAGAATAGTTAGGGTTGGAAAGGACCTTAAGATCATCAAGTTCTAACCCCCCTGCCATGGGCAGGGACACCTCACTCTAAACCATATTACCCAAGGCCTTGTCCAACCTGGCCTTGAACACTGCCAGGGATGGAGCATTCACAACCTCCCAGGACAACCTATTCCAGTGCCTCACCACCCTCACAGGAAAGAATTTCCTCCTTATATCGAATCTAAACTTCCCCTGTTTAAGTTTTAACCCATTACCACTTGTCCTACCACTACAGTCCCTAATGAAGAGTCCATGCCCGGCATCCCTATACATGAGTTACTCTGATTACTTTCCCTCCCTTTTAAGCCTTTTATTTTATTCATTCCATCTTGAATTAACATCTTTTGTCTCCAATTAGCACAATTTCCTAAATAAGTATCCATGCTTACTTCCTCAGTAATTTCTTCAAATTCTCCATTAAAAGCAACAAAGGTACTTCATTAGCCATTTTCAAACTCCTGTCCTGCAAGAGCTACAAGTAATCATCTCCAAATACAAAGATAATTCCATTTTGCTAATCTTTCAGTCTTAACCCGAAGTGTCCTACCTGTGTCTGTAAGGTGTTTGGGAAGGCTTTGTCCTTGTAAAATGTGTTCATGCGGTAACTAAAGTAACAACAACCTAGTTTCTGACTAATGCTTTTTGCCTCTTCAGGAAGATGCAATAGGTGCTTTTTTTTTACTTTAAGGGAAGCTAAAATATGCAATAAAGAAAGCAATTACTTCAGAACAGTTTCACTGTGACACAAGGAGCACACTGCTGATAAGAACCAGTGTAGGATTTAAGAAATGCACCCTGGATATATTTTGAGACTCACATTCTTCTAGACTGCTCTTTTTTTTCCTACAGTGTCTAGCTTATCAAGACATTCTCATATATTCTCATAACTGTTAGACATTAAAGACTTTAATTAATTATTTTATGAACTATAAGCTTTTTATAACCATTTACACTCTTTCCTCTATTATGATAACTTAATCATGCACAAATCTTACATCCCTGAAACAAAATGTATTAACTGTAGTTAGATTATTTAAATTAAGAACTGGGAATTTTCTTTTCTCTGGTTTCCCTTTTGCTCGTCATTATTTTTAGTTTGAGTATCAGCATTTGCTGTTCACTTGACCAGAGGTGCTTTACCATCACTGCCAATATACACAAAACAATGTGTCGTCCCCCCCCCCATTTTTATATATTGCAAACTGCTTATTTCAAACCAGGTTTCCTAAAGTTGCCTTGACTTTTTTAAAAAGAAGACTGCTATATTTCACTGCAGCAAGGAGCCCTACATGCTATAAAATACATAGTATGTAAGATGAAGAGTCTACAATTAACATATTCACAGCAGGCTCACTGTTCTTGATTTTTATTTAATACCGAAGCAATACACACAGATACATGTATCAAAAAGGGCATCAACTTCCAGAATTAAAATGAGTTTTTCCTCAAAGGAAGGTTTCAGTTATCCAATTATACTGCTTCTCCACATGTACTACTGCAGGGTATTTGTCATGGCCTCAAGACAACTGAAAACATACAGTGCTACATAACTATGTATGAACCTTACCGTCACAGCAATACTGGTACATATCATGTGCAGTGGCACCTAATACTTAAAGGCTCTAGGACTGCACACACACATTTATGAAATCATTCCTTTTGTTCCCAGTTGCAAGATATTCTGAATCAAAGAAGCTTATTAAAGGACTCAGCCATGAATATAAGAGAGGCAAGTGATTTAGTGAAATACACTTTCTCACAAAGGAAACAACATTTTCTTCATCATTTGTCTCTGAATTTTAGAATTAGAATACAGAAAATTAACTTCAGTGTTTCTATTAGAAAGGATGAAGTAATACCCAAATTAAATGCAAGTCAATGAGAAACATCTCTCAACAAAATTGCACTACACTAAAAAGAAATACACTGTAAGAAGTACTTCAATTGGCTGTAAGCACTTTATCTCAGGAATAGTTTTCAATTTATCTGAAACTAGCATTTTGATATAATAAGCAAGCTGTATACAAAAAAGTAGTTGGAGAATTCTGAATGAAAAAGACATCTCCATTTGATTTTTCCTTCACATACTGAGCAAGCTTAAAATAAGCGTCAATAAACTCTCCATTTACACCCAAATGTTAGGGGAAAAACAGGTGATAGTTTCATATTAGTTCAAATTAAATATCTCATGGAAAGCTTACAAGAGTGTTAAAAATAATAACAGAATGGGAAAAAATGCCTACCACAAAAATGCAATTATTTTCTTGTTCCGAAATGACAGCTTCCAAGAGTGATCTTTTTTCCTCCCAAATAGACCATAATGATACATATACTCTTTCCTCTATTAAAAGGTACAGTTAATGCTGCTTATTGTTTCTAGAACTGAAAGCTTCTAAACATCAAACATCATCTCTACTGATGTACTCCAGCAAGTATGACACACTAAGTGTTTTGTTGTTAGAGGACTCAGTTTTAGGGACTTCCATCTCTACTTTGCCTCTTTCTGGTTCACCTGGAAAGCTAAGTCAATTCTGATTTAAGATCTTCCAGTTAAACTGTACACTCATTTATCAATTAAGTTTTAAAAAGACAGAAGACGAAGTCAGCACAGTATAGCTATGAAGAAATAAATTCTGGAATTACTAGAATGGCTTCAACTCCCAGTAAGCTTGCCATGTATCATCATGTGTGTGTGACTACAGACTCAGCAGCTCTGCGGTTCCATAAAACACCAGCAGTTCAAGATGCAGATTTATTCACCCATGTAAGGAAAATTATGCAGACACTTATTTCTTAAGAGTACACAGACAGTAGCCATTGACACAGCTGAACTGGGCAAGCCAGTTCAGACCTCTTCAGTTTGTGTATTTTAGCTAACAAACCTGATTTTAAAAGCTCAAACTCATTTGCTACTTGTTTATATCACTAACAATTAAATACATCACTTTTCTTATAGTTGCCAGAATACAACTGCTAAGGCAATTTTCAGGCAGAATTATCAACTGCTAGATAAATCAGCAGAAGTAAGATAACCACACAACATTATTCCTTCCTCCTTCACCTCAGGTGTGTTTATAAACCTTGTTCCAAATAACACACTAACACTCCTAATAGTCAGAATTTCAGTTTGGTTAATTAGAAAATGCATTACCTTGTTGACTTTTTCTGCGCTGCTTCCTACAACTACAGAACAACCACAGGTCTGCAGGTGTGAACTAATTGCACTGCAAATAAAACCAAACACGGGTTAATACATTTAATCAAACTTTTGAAATAAAACAATTACCATCTTCACAAGAAGAATGAAGTGTGAAGATGTGAAGAATGAAGCTGCTAGTATAAATATAGGCCCACACTTACAGTCCCATAACCATAGGACCTCACACACCTGTGTAAGCTACTGATGAAATCCAGTGGTTCGGCAGTATCTGCATTTTCATTTTGGTAAATAAGAAGACTGTCACTCAATCTCCCAACACCAGTTATAGAGCAAACAAAAACTATCTACTGCTACGATCTAGTTTAATTACAGAATCTATATAAAAGAATTACCTTAGAGTAACAGAAAATATATTAATAATGATGGATTTGAAAGCTTCTTGACAGAAGATCAATTTCATGCTTGTCCTCATTTTTTGATCCTGTGGATCAGAAACCAGTTTGGGGAGATTTGGCAGGTAAACTGTTCTAGCTCTTGGTAAGTACATGGGCAAGACCACGACACAAGCTTGAGTCCTTTAGAATACACACAGGCATGTTGGAAGTTGAATGATCTTGTCTTACGAGTTGCCAGCAGCACAGATCTGATTTAGTTTATCTTAAGTCTGAAGGCTAGAGTAAACATACCTGGACTAACCTTCACAACTATTAACTTGTTCTTAGCAAACTTCTGTTGAGGTTTCTTATCCTCATGCTCCCTTTCCCCCTGCACTTTCTCAAAGCAACACCTGGCCCACAGCTTCAAAAAGTTTAGATATCCTGGAACGTGTAAGTACTATTAAAAAAATCTTCTCCACTATCTGTAGTTATACAAAAGTACATTTATGTTATCTTACTGCATTGTGTGATTAACCAGTTCTGTTGAACACCTTTAAAAGACAAGGACTATAGTAGTTATGCTCAGACTCTAAAATCCTGCAGGTGCACTCTAGTGGACCTGCTACTATTTACTTTATCAAGTGTATTCTAGGAGTTAAATTTAAGGCTACCTGAATACTTAAAAATTCTTCCTTTGAGGCAGAAATGGGTGCTCAGTTTCATCTAGAAGTTACTAAGAAAACATGACAGCCTATTTTAGAGGCTGGTGGTGTGTTACACCAGTTTATTCAGGTTTAAGCCAATTTTAATTTAATGACATGTATAAATCCATACAAAACTATATTTTTGACATCTGAACCTAAATGAGCTGATAAGCTTTGCAGATAAGCTAAAAAGCAGACATCTGGACCCTTCACACAAATGGCCAAGTTATTATTTAATTTCAGAACAAAACTTCCACAGAGAAGTAGCAGCAAAAAGAGAAAAATGATACCCTATAGTCTACCTGCCCAATAAATCTACAGTAGGATCAATGGCTCTAGTTGTTTACAATAACCCATTCCATGATATTCACTTCTATATTTTCCAAATTTTCTATGGAACTAAGTATAACATTATTATGAAGAAATAGCTAATTTTCTGTAGCACTGGAAAGTGTATGAAACACTATAAATAGGCACTAAACACTACATAAATGAATGCAGTTACATTGGAGGTGTTCTGAAAGGCAACAGAACAAACTAAAATATATGAAATAAGTTTTCCCACAGGAAGAAACCAAACTGCTCTCACGGGCAAATACTTCCACTTATACATTAAAGACAGGAGAAAAAAAAGAGAAACACAGTAATTTAATAATACAATTTAACAAGCATTCTATATGCCATACCATTAATGGCTCCTATTTATAGTTTATGCAAGTTTTGGGCATTTCATAAAAATGTAAAACTTTGACTTATATCCTCGTAAAAACAAATATATCAAAGAAAAACTGTATTTTACAGGAATTCTATTATCAAGCAAACATGACAACACAGTCTACAGACATGTAGCTATTAGCCCAAAGACATTCTTCTAAAGTGACAGGAACTTCTACAGCATTTTATAGACAAAAATTCAAAAAGCCAAATACATGTTATTCTCCTCCTCCTATAAAGAAAACTAGTCTAGTGCACGTTCACATGCACATGCAGTTTTTATATGTACATGTACACGCATGTGTATGCACACACAAGTTTAAATTGTTTTATTACAGCATAAATCAAAACTAAAATTCATACTTGAGAAGAAAGCCTTCATGGCAACTATCCCCGATGTCATCATCATTTAGCACTGTGTCACTTATCTGAAATGCAAGTAAATACAAACAAAGGTTAGACAAGGATCTACACCACCTTCCAATTAACTGATTTTTAATGATAGGTGGGAGCTACTTAAACTATGTTGTAAGACTGCCCCCAAAAGGGCAACATTAAAAAGACCTTCTGATTTCAGCCAAAGTTATTTTGAAAATGAGAAAGTCGCTCAATTATTAAATGTTCTTTACCAGTCACAAGTCAGATTCTTCCCAGTGTTTTGGGTTTTTTTTTCTATAATCTTAGTGAAATCACTTTCACTTCTTCCATGAGAACACTAAACCACACTGAAACAGGTATCATAGAATCAATCACAGAATACCAGAAAATTACCTCAAGGATCATCTGGTCCAACCTTTCTAGGCAAAGCATAACCTAGACTAGATGTTCCACTACCCTGTCCAGCTGAATCATAAATGTTTTCAGCACTGGGGAGTCCACCACTTCCCTGGGGAGGTTATTCCAATGGCTGACTGTTCTCATTGAGAAGTATTTTCCACTACTATCTGGTCAGAATCTCCCAGGGGGTAACTTGTGCCCATTACTCCTTGTCTTTTCCATGTGACTCCTTGTAGAAAGGAAGTCTCCATCTTCTTTTACCCACCCTTTAAATACTGGAACATGGTGATAAGGTATCAACATTAAAACCACTTACCCAATTCATTTTGTTTTGCATCAAATAGCCTTTGATCAACCTAAGCAGTCAGTTTTGCTAACTGTTGATCATAAAAGCCACTGCTAGCACTATTACATTTACCAAACTGAAAGAGTTATGTTAAACCATTCCCTATACCATTTAGGATAACTTGATGTAAACCAACCAAAGTTTACAAGAACTTATGACAACTGTCGGCTTTTGTGTGCTAAAGAATGTACTAAACCTTAGTGCCAAAGCCACTTTTTTATTCAGAATGCAAAGAACATAAGGACTTACATCAATTTCTTCTGGAACGCTGTGTGATTTCATAGATGAAAGGAGTTCCATTACAGGAATGACTTCTCCTGTCAGCATCGGAATGATGCTCTGGCCCTGTGCAATAAATAAAATGTTTAAAGTAAAAGCACATTGTGCAGCATTAGAAGTTACTACGAACATGAGCTTGCAATATTTCATGCAAAACATCTTTAACTTCCAATTGTTTGGAAAATGGATGCATAGACTTCTTGGGCTTTGCTCATCAATAATTATGAAGTGGAAACAGATTTTGCTACTCAATATCATCTCTAAAATGTATTTCCAAGGTCCTATGTAATTTTCACAATCAGTTTGATTGGTCTAGACAAGAATTATTCAAAGTGGGATAATTTCATCCTACTGTATTACGTGCAATTATTGTTAAGCATTTTAGGTCCAAGTCTGATGTTTTAACAATGACAGGAAACCAAACTCAGGCATATTCATTAACATACAAAACTTCTTATCTGATTTATCTATCACAAAAAGCCAGAGCCACAACTTTATATTTACAGTTTCAGAAATGGAATTCTTTTCACAGCCTTATCCATAAGGTCTCCAACCACATTCCAGTGTGACAGACTCTGTACATGTCTGTAACTTGAAAAGGTAACGACCTAGTGAAAAACCATCCTTGACAGGAGGCGAGCATGAATCTATGGAAGCTACTACCTTTACAGAGCTTCAAGTAAATGATTTTCCTTTTCTGAAAGGTAATTATTCTTCATAGATTTCCACTTTACCCATAAAATGATGAAACATATTTTCCTTCAACTTGTTCACAGCTTCCATCATCCTGTCTTCAGAAATTTCACCTCCTGTGCATGGCAGGTCATCAGCCACTCCAAAGTATCTTCTTGGATCCCAAAAATAAGAAGCAGCACCGACTTCTACAGTCACCAGATCCAGGCAAATAGTTTTGTGATGGTGTGCCATACTCATCAACCAGGTCCCTTACCTGATCCTCCATTCTCTCTGTGCCTTCCAAGACAATCTTCTGGAAATGTTCTTGCCTCTCCTGAGCAAGAGAAGCAGTTAAATATAAACGCTCTGGTATTTGTTTATGTATGTATGCACACAACAGTCAAATGGTACAGTTTCTTCCCTGTGGAGTCATGCTTCTTAGATTCAAATTTTGATGCTCAAGCCTTTTTTCTTTTACAGAATTGACATCAGTGGGAAGTGGTGTCATTTTATACAGATCAATGCTCCCTGCTCTGGCCCCCACCAAACTTCTCACATGCTTGGGTAGGAGCAGCAGGAAAGGGAGGGTGTGACAATAATGACAAAACATTGTTCATTACAATCAACAAATGCCAAATGCTCAGATTATGGTACAGAATTGCACTTTCTGTATGGATTTTTATGTTAAAATGGTTAAGGTACAGACTGATGGTTTCTGATGCAGCAAGAAAAAAAAGAGATTTCCAAAATGAGAAAAAAAAATTGTCTGGAAAGGATAGGAAAAACAGGACTTTTTTTTTTTTCCCCACATCTTGAGACACAAGTATTCGAAACATTGTTTTATAACCAAGTACAGGAGGCATGAAATCTCAAAATACACAAAACACAATGTACAAGGGATGGACAAAGTTCTCAAAATAGACTCAGCAGTAGCTGAGTAGCAGACTGCATTCAAAATTCAACTTACAACAGAATAAAGTTCTTCTTGAAAAGAATCGGCATTAATCACTGAGAAGATCAATACAACACGCAAAAAAAAAAGAAAGGAAGATGCTGGGAAAATTAATGATATCTATTGCTAGACGCTGACAGGTTATTGAATTTTTATTGGTTGCTCATTAGTTTCCCACGGATCAACTACTCAGAGTTCAACAGCTTCAAGTGGGAAACTTTTCTGAATGGCTGGATAGGGAACAAGCTAACTTGCCCTAAACCAGGAATATATCTTGTCAAACCATCTAAAAGAGGCACCCGCAAAAAACAATATTGGAATAAGGCAGATTCCTTCAGGGAACCTCCATCCTTGAGTTCAGTATCAGTGAAGTAAGACATCCTTGACAGTGAAGATCCTTTGTTTTAAAAGAAGTCAGTCTTTATGAAGGTAAGGCTGAACAAATGGTGTAAGCCACTTCTTTTTAGAAATATAACTGCTCAAAATTATTAAACAAACATCTGGTAATAAAACTGAAGTAGATAAAAGGGTTTTCTAATTCCCATATAGATGACCTGCTTGGAGTTGCTTGTCTCTCTTTGCCAGTCTGAACACTGTTCCATGTTTCTCCTAGTTCTTCAGTTTAGAAAAGCTTCTCTTCTAAAGTCTATCTGGAACTCTTGTCTGGCTCTACACAGAACTCCTGAGAGGCAATAACCATAAGCATTATAAATTCCAGAAGAGATACATAGTTCCTTTCAGATACAACTTTAGTATTTTTTGTTCTGTTTAGCCATAGCTGCTAAACTGTCCCAAAACTCAAACTACAAAATAAGCCTCATTTAATTATCATCTTACAACTCATGCCTAAATTTTAATGTACATTTTCAAAGCAGTTTCCTCTCTCCTATGTAAGGCTGCAGAACTGCAGAGATATGCAGGGATCTTTGATCTTCCTCAAAAAAAGAAAACCCCGAACCAAAATACCCTGACAGACAATAAACATCTACCTTGGAATGCATCACTGTCTCAGCTAAGCCAGTTGACATATCTGCCTCAAGTACATCTGAAAAAGAATGAAGAACTTAATGACTAATTTCTGAGGAAACTAGTAGAAAAGATTCTCAACACCAATTGGAGGCTACTTCTGCTGTAGAAAAAAACTGATATGGGTGAATGTCCAAAAAGAGCTAAGATTACTGTCGTTAAGAACGATGGACAATTCTTATTTGCTACTCATATTAAATGTTAAGTGCAGAGGACACTAAATGATAGAGAAGCAATGTAATCAAGGACACATGATAGAATTCACTTAAGTCAAAAGCACTAACATCCAGCATGCTTTTAGAAGACTAGACCAAGAATACCATATTTGTGTTTCTACCGTAGTGAAAATGAACTATATGTCCTATCCTTCCTCTGAAAAATAAAGCCCAGATGTATCAAGACCCAGCGTAGTGGAAAACACTGCCAGCCATCATCAGGGAAGACAGCATGTATCACTGGAGTTACTGTAGCAAAAAGGAACCTGCTTAGTGTTTCTGGAAACTTAGTTAGCTCAGATAAGAGTACTCAGAAAGGAAGTTTAAAGTATGTTGACTAGAAGTCTTAGGAGAGGAACAAAAACTCTACCAAACATGTATCACAATACACATTACAGCTGACATACAATGCACTGCTGTAAGACAACTTGTACTCCATAAAGATGACAGATTTTAGTATTATAATTTTTATTGTCTGAACATTACTTAAACAAAAATACATAATAATTTTCACTTAGAAAATATCCATAATGTATCTAAAGGTAAGACTTGTAATTGTTCAGAAAAACTTAGCATGTTCTATGAATTTCAGAAGTATAAATATTTGGGCTAAAACAGATGTATTTTTGTGGTTCTCTCATTAGTTTTAACACAATTTAGCAATCTTGCCAAACTGATCACTGATACGCTGTTTTGTTTTTTTTTAAACAGAACTATAGCAATGACAACATTAACTGCATCAGTTCCCTTTTCTGGACCTCAACACTGGAAACAATTACACAGGAAATTTACAATTCAATCTGGTTTAAATATGCTAACACACTTAAAAGCAACAATTTATAACTAATTAGTGAGATGAAAAACTGTACAGGATGCCTATTGCACTTCAACAGTCTGGTGCAAGTTACATAATTTACTAGAAAAAGTACTGGTGGCTAAAAACCCCAGCCTTGAATTTGCTGACGTTACTATCTTTCAGCCTTCAAAATTGTGTACTTGTAGAGAGGTCAGCCTCCTCTTGAGTTTTTGTGTCTGGACTGCTATACAGTAGGTGGCACAGACTTTTAGGTCTTGCTTTTGCTCAAGACAACCTGAACAACAGCTTTTAGTAATGAACAATACACCTACCTTATGCATCCATATTCTTCCTTTCCGTATAATATGTGTTAACCTATCCACGCACACTCTGTGAAGTGGCAGGTAGAAGCCGAGTTCACTTTGTGGAAGTATAATTGATAGTCCATATGTGCTTCTGTCTCCATTCCAGTTTCCATCAAAGATTAGTGACACAATGATTACCCTTTTTTCTGCCAAGACGAAGAATTTCACATCTATTGCGCCGCTTTCTGCATTCCGAAGTATTTCGCCATTCAGGGTGTGGTTTGCAAGGAAAGTTATTTCACCATCACTGAGAAGTACCTGTTCTGTCTTTGGGGCCCAGATATGCCGTACTCGGGGGCCAAGAATATTGTCCCAGTAAGCAAAAGTGGCAGCTAGTAAAGGTGACTCGCCATTCAAGGAGATCTCTGTTTTAGCAACTGCAGGAGATGGTGGTGGACAAAGAGCTGACATGCCTGCTTTCTCTCTTGCTTGTAGCTGAAACCCTTACATTACCTGCAAAGGGAATTTCACAGAAAAAAGTGTTACGGCAGCACTCATTATTGCCTCAACTTTTGTTTCCAAATAAGGCTTCAGGAGACAATCCTGCGATCTCATTGCACACTTCATTCAAGAAGGAAATGTATACGCATACCTTCCACATAACGAAGTGGTATGCTTTACAAACATTAGTCAGTCAGACCTCAAATACCCTTTACTCACTCTACAAGTACCACAAGCCTGCACAACATTCAACTTGTGTAAGAAAACTGACATATGATAAATACATCCTTCACATCACGGTGATGTGCAGGGTGTTGCAATGCAAGACAAATGCTCACTACTTTTCGGAATGTACTGATGGAAAACTCTTCAAATTGCATAGATGCAAATGCTTAAAACATTTTCCCTGACAGTTTAGGACAAGTCTACAGCTTCCCCATTTTGACAGGGCTGCAGAAGGTAACAGGAAGTGTCACCTCCCCTAGAAGTTATGCTAGAGTCACAGGAACACATTAAAGGAAGTTTTAGTAACAAATTGAACACGGTATGAAAAACTGGAATACGTAAAATGCATTTATCTTGATGAAACCTCATACGACCAGAGCTTTCCTCTTCACCTGCATCACTACACACTAAAGGGGAACCTCTTCATTCCCTTTCCAGTACCAAGGGAGCACTAACACCCACCTTACTGAAGGGGCTGTAGCTCGCTCTACCCTGGCACTGTTTCGTTTCACCTGTTTGTTCCCTAGGGCCAGGCGCATTTCTACACAGCACCGGGTAAAGCACCTTTCCCTCCGGCTGCTTCCCGGGTCTGGGTGAAAACACCAGTCTGTCCCCGCGAGCCGGTGCCAGCCCGGACGCTAGCAGGAAGCTGAGGCCGTTCGAGCTTGTAAGTGTGACTCCACGGTTTCCAGGGAGGACGACGACCAGCATCAGCCACCCCCGCTTCCTCTCGCCCACGGGCTGACGAGCCGCCGCCAACAGCGACCGCGGCACACGACCACCGCCGCTGTCAGCCTCCGTAAGGCCCGTTCCCACCCCCCAGGTCTGCTCTGAACTTCGGGAAGGACACACCTCCTCGGGACCGGGCTGGGAACCGCGCTACCAGAGGGCGCAGCTCTTTCCTCCCGCGACAGAAGGGATGGTGACAGCCCCCGGGGTGCACAGCACTACTCCCCCCAGCCCCGCCGCCGCGGCCCGCACCCACCTCACCTGCGCACCAAACACCGCCCCGCGCCTGCGCACGACCCTGCCAGCACAGCCCGGGGCCTCAGCACCGCTGCCGCGCAGGCGCGGCACCGCCCCCTGTGGCAGGGAGGCGGGAGGTGGTGGTGCCGTCCGGGGGTCTGTCCGCGGTGCGGGTGCTGACGGCAGTGGTGGCTGAGGTGTTACCACAGGGGAGGGGGGGTGAAGGTGGCGGCCAGCAGCGATGGGGAGCTGCGGGAGCTGCCTTCGTCGCCGCGGCAGGAAAAGCAGTGCTGGTGTGCTCTGGGAGTGGAGCGCACGGCAGGGCAGTCTGTGAGGAGTGAGCAACCCCATTCCAGGCCCGGGCTGGCACGGGAGCCAAGATCAGTTTGTGGAGGAAGCCAGGAGAAGCCCTGTCTGCACTAGCTGGGAAAACTGCGTTGTGCCAAGTGCATCATCTTATGGAGGAGCTTTGAGGCTTAAAGAAGGAAGTGCTGAAACAAATAGTTTAGTATCCAAACATAGTGTACGCTGAACAGGCGAGATGCTATTATTTGAGTTTATTTTCACCTGAGTACCTTCACATCCTGTTGCTTCTGCAGTCCTGTCTGGATGAAAATCACCATAGTCACATGTAAGAGGTATTTTACTTCAAGCCTATAAAGGAAAAATACCCTTCTGATGTGGTGAGGCGGCTCTAGATCTCACTCCGCTAAACAAGGTAACAAAGTTTTATTGAGGGACAAGTCAATAAAGCAAAAGCAACAGTGCTGGGCGCATGACAGTAGCCAGAGCTGCGAGTGATTAGCATTTGTTACAGGTTTATATACTTTCACTATTACATTAGTTACATGCATATGCATAATTCCCACATATAGGTGGGGAATATTATAACTAACTCCCAGAACTTATTGTCATAAGTTCCCTCCTCTTGGTGTCTGCGCACTGCTCTCTGGTGATCGTGGGCAGGGTCTTGAGCATGACGTAAGCAGTCTTCTTGTGAGTAGGGGTCTTCAAGATGAAGTAAGCAGTCTTCCTCACAGTGTACTTTTCACCTTTGGCACAGTTCGACGCCCCCAGCAATCACACCACTAGCTGAAACCAGCTATATCTGTAATTCTTCTGATAACTAGCAAAGATTTAAAACAGTGTGATCTTCCTGCAAAATTTATTGCAGGATAGGCAGACCAGGAGTATCCCAAGCTAGCAGATGTTTGGGACGCTCTGTCTCTAAACTAACTGATAAGTAGAAGGATGGTGTGAAATAACTCATTCATGTTTAGTGGGGCCACTAAATCCTGTTATCTCACCACAGACTTACAACACAAACATTGTTCTTTAAAACTAAAGATACTTTAGAAGACCAGTGTGAAACAATTCGCTCATGTTTAATGAAGCCACTACATTCCACAGACTTATAACATAAACATTGTTCTCTTTCTACAACCTAAGGTAAGCTAAAAAGTACTTTAAGTCTGTGTTTTTCAGGCAATAGCTTTTCTTATATCACCTCTTTCACCTTTACAAATTCTTTTGCTATGTGACTCCAGTTTGCTCAAGAGTTCTGGCCCTCTTTAACTTGTTGTCTAATCTTGTGTCTTTAGGGAGCTTTGTTTCTGTTATTGTAAACTGGAACAGTCACATCCACATAACCACACCTATGATTTGCGAAAGCCAATCATTTGTGTGTTTATCACAAGTCTCAGCTCTGCTATAGGCTAAGCAGCTGACCCATACACAAAGGCTTAACTGGGCACAGCATGCCTGAAGTATGATCTTTTTTTATGTGTCACACTCTCCCAATTTAACCACAAAAGTCACTTTCCTCCTGCCTTTAATGTAAGTAGTTGAATAGCTTCACATAAAAAAAAAATGTACTCTTCAGGCAGCTAAAATATGCCATTTAGATTGTTTTTATTAATGATTTTTAAAGCAAACACTGAGCATAGAACGTCTTGTGTCTGTGTATTGGATTGTAGTTCTAGCTTCTCAGAACCACAGCTCCAGTAAATGACCACTGTGTAATGATTATACAAGAGCTTGGAGTAACAGTGGAATTAAACCTAGTTTTAAAAGTTGCTGGTATTTAATTTGCTGCATTCAAAGCTTAGGCTTCAAACTCAGTGGAATTTCACTACTTATTGTTTAAATGTAAATCCATGCAGTTTATAAAAAAACCCAGCAGGTTTTGCACATTTAGTTTACATTTGAACAGTGAAGATAAATGAATATAAACTGCTTCATATATGGGTGTAGACACCAATCTCTACAGTGAGAAAAGTGCTTTGGTATTAGATAGGTAATGGTATAGTAGGAACGGTGGGCTTCAGGTGTGGGGTTTGTTTTGTCACTGAGTTGTCATGTAGCCTTGCATAAGTCACTTGGTATTGTTGCATCAGTTTTCCTATTAGAAACTGCTTTGAGAATTCTACATTTAAAAACAAATCACCATTTTATATGCAAGGAAATACTAGCACAAACTACAAATCCTTTATTTTTTCTTGAGGTAATAGATGAGTCTGTAGGTGTCACAGTGGTATTATAGGCAGAGGGAAACTTCTGTCTGTTGTAGCAATATTGATTGTTGTCTTTATTCTTTTTTCCTTCAGTTTTTCACACTTCACAATCCCATTGCATATGATTTGAAGAGACAGCAATATACCTGCAGGTGCCTTTTGTGGACACATCAAAAGAATTGGTGGCAGGCTGCAGTGTAAGCAGATTTTTTCCTGTGACGGAGAATACATCTGTCTATGAAGCCTGGTGCTGCAAAAAATTAATTGGAGAGTGTGAAACACAGAGAAGATGAAAATGAGCTCGGGCTCTGAGCTCAAGCAAAATCACATTTCAGTTTGGTTTATTTATGTTTTTAGCGTGGCATCCTGAATCATCATTATGACTGATGTCATGCTATAAAATGAGGAAGTACATAGGCAAAATGGAGAGGGATGAAACAAAATTCAACTGCTCAGCCTGGTGGAGAAAGGCAATGCTTAGCTACACTGCTGCACTGAAGTCATACATGCGCTCAGACCAGCGCGAGTTTGCACCGCTGCAGAAAGATGATCTTGAAGAAAGTTAATCTCACAGTCATAGCATTGTTGTTTTCCAGACAGATTAGATTACAGCAAAATTAGTGTGCAAAGTAAAAGAGAACAAATGGAAAAGGTTGGTTGAGGTTGCAAGAAGCAGGAATGCTTGGTGGTGGTACAGAAATCAGTGCTGAGATTAAGCTTTACGCACATGGAAGCAACATGAAGGCAGACACAGCTCTAATAAAAACACAGCTCGCTCTCCCCTGTTCCCAGCTATTGATTCCTGTAACAGGGGAAAGATGAGACTTTGCACAGTGCACATGGTTGATGGTTTTAAGGTCACATCTGTGTGTCATCTCCATGTTAAAAGCAGTGAAGTAATGCTTGCACTGTCACTGTCTCTGTCATGTTTATGGAGTCTCCTGTTACTGGTTTTATCTTCTTACAAACACTGGCTTTAGTAGGTGCTAGAGCCCATGTAAATCTGAGCTTGACCTGTGAATATAAATTGATTTCACACAGTTTCTAGTATTGATATAACTGCATCCCACCAGTTGTATCTGAGTGGTGCTGTCCCAAGCTGCTGTCATTATCAAGTTAATACTTTACAGATCACTAAATGCACAGACATGGCAGTAGGAACCCTCTAATTACTGTGACAGAAAGTAGCCTGCAATTCTAGAGCCACTCCATGGAAGTTAACAATTTTCAAATGGAAGTTAAGGATCCAGAGTTTTGAAGTGCTGAGGAATTTTATCCTAAGAGGACCCTCATGGCTTTTTTTTCATGATCCTTTTACACATGGAAAGGGTAATTTGATCTCTTAAAGAAGAGTATTCTATCTCTTCAAGCCCACGTGACAATGGCAAAATTGCAGCAAAAGTTCTATGTAAATATATAGTGGGAGGCAGGATATACAATGGCAAGCATTGGTTGATTAGAAATATTTAGAATAAAAAAATCCGAAGGTGATGCTGTTTTATTTATGATGGTGCAGTGCTCATGTGCACTGTGATTTTTTTTGTTGATTCCAGTGTTTTTCCCAAACTCAAAAAGGCAGGATCTACTATAATAAGCACCTGAGTAGTTTTGTTTTGGCAAAAAGGTATTAATGTGGAGTCCACACCATATTGCTGTAGGGTCAATTAGAAATAAGTAACTTAGAAAACTCAAGAAAAGGAGAATTCACCACTGAGGTATACCCAGCTCTGTTATTTAATTCTAATGCCACTGAAGGATACTGTATCAATAAGATAATAAATTATATTAAAGCAAATATATAATAATCTATATAGAGTTTAGCTGAAGTGTGGAGATAGATGTGTCACTTTGAATATATAACAGATAATGTCCTGTGATCTGTGTATGCCTCTGATATGCTTTGTAAAACCAAGTTTCTCATATGCCTGAGCTTAGTTAAGGCTAGTTTCCATCTACAATCAAGTTACTATGCTGGCTGCATTTGTCTGGTGTCCTTCTGAGTGTTGAGGTGCAGTTATGCAGCTGACCCAAGTAAAATCTGAAGTCACAAAGCTGTTAAACAGCTGGTCTGATCTGGTCTCTCCTCTCTTCCCAGCTGCAGATGAGTGTTCCACTTCCCTTTTTCTGCTTGTGTGTATGTAATGTTTGTGTGATGGTACAGCATGGCTGTAGAACAAATCAGGCTCATCTGTCTGAAAACCAATTTTTTTATTTTTTATGGTAGGTAGGCAGGCAAACCTATCTTTGGAAGTGATATTGCAAGTATGTATCATGTCATGTTAAGCTTTATAGAACAAAACTAGTCATAACCCAAGACCATATATTAAAATAGGAGCTGTGTATGTTGGAAAATTTTCAAGTCTGAAAGATGCTGGAGAAACTTCAGCAGAAAGCTTTCTTCAACACATATTACAAATGAAAAAAGCAGGAGAAACTATAGCAGCACCTCTGGGAAGGACCATTACATAAACCACTTCTTCCTCAGTTTCACTTTTGTCAACTTTTATTTCTCTTACTGG